CAGCTTTATCCTTGCAGCTGTAAAATCAAAAAAAGGGGAAGCGGTGGCGGAAATGAGGCCAGTTTTTCTGAAAGGCGAAGAGGGAATTTGGGACAAAGGAAGCTATTTAATTTCTTTGGCCTCCTTAAGCTGTTGGCTGGTGGATGAACAGATGTAAACGCATAACATCAGCTGCATGCAATTAAATATATTTCTTGTCTTTGCAGATGTCCAGAAGGATTCCCGTATATACACAGCACAACTGTATGAGAGGTACAGGACTGCATAGCTATGCGAGGACAGTTGTATCGTGTAGCAGGTCACGGTCAGTGCTGGCTGGAAAGCTGAAGCCCCTCAAATGATACTGGCCTCTCTCAGGGAATCTGCTCTTGCACTTCATTTCCGCTGTCTTTCAAAGAGGCTATCATTTAAATTGGCTCAGATATGATGCAGGAAATCAAAACATTAGTCCAGGAATGGTGTCACTGTTGAAACAACATCTGACTCCTCCTGACTGGGATTACACTTGGTCATTTTGGATGGATCTCATTTCTGCTCCTATCACCTGGAGGGGCAGCAGGTCATTTCTGTCTTGCTTATCCCAAAGGACCAAGAGAAGCACCAATAGCCCTAAAACAGGGGGAAAAGTCCGATGCCTCTCTGATGCCATGACAACATGCTGTTGTAGCATAGAGGAACACACACCTCAGAAGGAGATGCTGAGTAGCAAAATATGCACCCCTTTCTCCAGACAGTCTTAGGAGCTAAAGCAAAATGTAAGCTATGGAAACTGGAGATATGTTGAAGAAGGCAGAGAATATATCGTGAAAATGAATGGGATAGTGGATTGCTTAAAATAAAAATGCGATGCTCCCCTGCCTGCTGTGACACCACTCCATCAGGCAAATATAGCCACATGTAGGCTTGAACCAGGGCTAAAAAGCAAATTTGAAGAGTGGGATTTCCTTGTGCTGAGGGTCAAGTGATTCAGTTTGCAGCAAGATTACTTTAGAAAACCTCTCTTTGTCTTTGGTGTAGCTTTGGACTGAAAAATTACCTTTGTCTAGAAATACCAGGGCTTCCCTGAATGAGGGGAAAACATGCATATGAAGCATTTGCTATTGCTTAAGGGTACCAGTCACTCAGAGACTTCGTTTCCTTCTCTTTTGTCTCTTTCAAGCTCAGAAGTTTACTGTTGCTTTAACTTTCTAGATGCATAGCTATTCTTAGATTTTGTCTCCTGGAAAATTGAGGAAACATATCAAAACACTTTTTAAGGTGTAGGTGGTTCCTTGAGGGACCTAGAGGCATTGCTAGCAATTTAAATGTCAGGAGCTTTATTTTTCAGAATAAATATGGTGTCTTTTTTTTTTTTTTTACTACATTTTTTACTATGATACTTCTGCAGTGAAGAACACTGGTCTTCAGCTCCGTGAGTGGAGACATGCAAGGATACCAAAAGGAGAAATGGCAGTAAATGGGAACATGGCATGTTATGCAAGTGTTATTAAAGCTGCATGTGAGGAACCCTAACAAGGATGGTCTTGAATCCTTCTGCAAGTAAATTGTAATAAAAAAAATCTATTACTTTATCTGTACCCCAGATTTTGACTGATGTTCCCCACTATTTTGCTGGTGAAGTGAAGAAGGTAGCAGGATGCTCTCACACCTCTGAAGACGTTTCTCTCCTGTGAAATGATGGCCCACTTACAGAAACTCAGTATCTGTTGCTTGGTCTTTCTACCCCTGCACTCTGAGGAGATTCCTTGTTAGCTATGCAATCAATAAAAAACATATCTTCAGCAACTAGTAAATCTAGTTTATTAAAACACAGATTTGACAGTTAATTCAATTGCTAACAAAGTTCTAGCATGGTCAATACAAAAAAAAGGTGACATCGTCAGTGAGATACATATATCCTCTAGATGCAATATTATCTGATAATAGGGTGCATTTGGATGGATACAGACAAAAACACATTACTGAGATTAGACTGTGGCTAATTTTTTCCCTTCCCTTGTAGTATTTAACGTGTACAGTTTCTCATCAGAGGCTCCAACATTGTCACTCGTCCCTGCTCAAGTTACTCCTGACAGGAAATGAGTATGCCCCCTTCCTTCTGAATATTTGCCTGCTATCCCTCTGCACAAGCTACCACTGCAATCCCATTCCCATTGCAAACCAGTGATAATATCCCCTTTTCATAGAATCATAGAATCATTTAAGTTGGAAAAGACCTTTAAGATCATCAAGTCCAACTGTTAACCTAACACTGCCATCCCACCATTAAACCATGGCCCTAAGCACCTCGTCTGCCTGTCTTTTAAATACCTCCAGGGATTGGGATTCAACCACTTCCCCTGGGCAGCCTGTTCCAATGCCTGGCAACCCTTTTGGTGAAGAAATTTTTCCTAATGTCCAATCTAAACCTGCCCCACTGTAACTTCAGACCATTTCCCCTCATCCTATTGCCCACTACCAGGGAGAAGAGGCCGACTCCCACCTCTCTACAGCCTCCTGTCAGGCAGTTGTAGAGGGCGATAAGGTCTCCCTTCAGCCTCCTCTTCTCCAGGTTAAACAACCCCAGTTCCCCCCATGTACCAGTATTTAAAGAGTGGCTACAAAGAAAATGGAGACTCCCTTTTCACAAGGAGTCACATGGAAAAGATGCGGGGTAATGGGTACAAGTTAATCCTGAGAAGATTACGATTGGATATGAGAGGAAAATTTTTCACAATGAGAACAGTTGGAATAATCTCCCCAGGGAAGTGGTTGACTCCACCACATTGGACACTTTGAAGACTCAGCTGGACAGGGTGCTGGGCCATCTTGTCTAGACTGTGCTCTTACCTAGAAAGGTTGAACCAGATGATCCTTGATGCCCCTTCCAACCTGGTATTCTATGATCCTATATGATTCCCTCAGCTGATTCCCTCAGATGCTTCTTTCAATAGCATGGGACCAAGAGCTGCAGGAGTTTGCATGGCATCATTAGGTCAGCTCTCAGGTATGCCACTGAGTTATTGAAATAAGGATTTGGAGCGTGAACTTTAGTGAAGACTTATGATAAAATTCTGTGCTTATGTCAAAGGCAGCATAAAGTGACTGAAATAGATTGACTCTGCAATTGAACATAACCCTTAGATAGCCAAGAAAAATGTGACTTTCCCAGTGATTTGTCAAGTACTTTTCCACCTGACCAGCAATGATTTGTTTTCTGCATATTTCAGACAGAGCTGAAAATAGCTGGCTGCAGTTATTTTTGTTGGGAGGCAATAACATTCTGTTTATAGAGTGCTTCCTCCAGAAAAGTTCAGAGCATTGAGAAAGTATCTTCACTGACAGAAGCCTTCCTTTCGGCGGATTTCACAGGGAGGAAGGCTTCCAGCATTTTTGTTAGTTTTCATATGGGCCAGGCTGCTTTCCTGGAACATATGACAAAGTTTCTTGTCTTTTTTTATTAAAAAATTAGGTAATTAAAAACAAAATCGAAGTGTGGTCAAACTGAGTTTGAAGCCTCTTTTCACTTAATTGCAAGCGATGTGATTTTTAGGAAATGTATTTTAGAAAATATTCAGAGACTTAAAGATGCAGCCAGCCATTTGGTGAATTTTTCCAAAGTACTCATAGGTGTAGCTCCCCATTGCTTTCTAAAACAGCTCTCCTCCTCTTCCTCCTCTGCTGCCCGTCTTTCCTCCTGTTCCTGGCTTAGTGCTTCCCCATTGCATTGGTTCGTGTTTGATGTCAGGGGGTTCAAAGCAACTGGGATTTAATCTTATGAAAAGAGGGGCCAGTTTCCTCCTCAGAACAGGTGGGAGGTGAAGGATTAGGGATGCCTTTGGCAGGAGTTCGCTGTCAGACTGGCTTACCTGTGTGGAGGAAACCATTTGGACTGAAATAATTTTAAAAGTTTGTCTCTAGATCCCCACAGGGGGACTGAGCTGCCTAATCTTGGCTTTCAGAAAAGCACTGGCAACACTGAGCACAAAAGCAAGTGTTGCAATGGCTTTGAAGGAATCAGCGCACATGCGAAGAGCTGCAGGGTGCAGCCCCGTGCTCTGTGTGTCCGCATCCTCTCCTCTCTGCCAGCAGTCATCTTACTCATAGTGCTCCATGACGATGACGTTTGCTTGAAATCATTATCTCACTTGACAATCACTGAAATGTTAAGCAACATGCCTCGGTGGCCTCCTCAGAGTGGAAAATTTAGAAATATTGTTGCCTTCTCAAGAGCCTGAGCCAGTGCCAGGTCCTGTTTGGCTCTCTGCTTTGCAAGTCAGATGCAGCAGGAAGTATCAGTGATGCTTTACATTTCTGTTCCATGCAAACCTTTGGCCGGTGTTTGCAAAGGGAACTGACAGGGCACTGTGAAGCTGTTGGGCATTACAGCGTCTGAACCACGCACCTCCGCACACACAGGGAAGGAGCACAGAGAGGTTCAGACACAGACACTGAGGTGGCCAGGTGAGCAGTTTCCCTTCGAGTCACTGGTTGAGTATTGTGAAATGAAATAAATGGACCTTAGCAGCCAGGTAAATCCCTTTCAATGCCTTGTCCTGGTGAGGGTGAACACTAGAGTTGTATCTATGCTAAATAGAAGAGGACCAGGGATCACACCCAGGCACCTCTGATCATCCTGCCTTGGTTTTGGCCATCTCCAATGAGCTGTCTCAAAGACACTTATGCTCTAGAGGTGCCTGGCACTGAGCAGCATGGCTGCAGGCTGGCTAGCACCACACAACCTCTGCCATTGAGTAGTATGGATCCAGTCTAGATGTCCCATTGGGACCATATATACAGCATTTTGCAATTCTGCATCAACTACCTGCGGTACAAACTTCTGATTCTCGCTTTGAAATTTTCAGCAGCGAAGTAATAGAGGATGGGATCGAGGCAGCTGTTCATGGCAGCAAGGCAGAGAGTGACCACCAGCGCTTTGTGCAAGGTCAGGTTGCCCTGGCTGCAGTTGCTGCGCATCAGGTGGACAGTTCGTAGTATGTGATACGGCAGGAAACAGATGAGGAAGAGGATGAGAGTGATGATGATGGTTGACAGTGCCTTCTTGTGACAGACTGCCTTCTTGCGCTGCGGAGTCTTGGACTTGAGCAACGTTTTGATTGCAAAGACATAGCAGAAAATAATTGTGAAAAATGGCAGAATGAAGCCCACGATGAGGACAAAGCTGTTCATCATGAAGAGTCCTTGCGTGCTGGAGGGGTGGAGGTCCAAGCACTTTTCTGTGTTCTTGTATGCAGCGACTACTTTGGTTAACAGAGGGCTGGAAGCTGCCAGCACAAAGACCCATATAGCTGCGCATATTATCCTGGCGTACTTCATGTTGGTTACCTTCCAGTGTTTGAAGGGGTAGACGATGGCTAAGAAACGAACCACGCTGAGCACAGTGAGAAAATAAATGCTGCAATACATGTTCACATACAAGATGTAAGTCATGATCCTGCAGACAATATCACCAAATATCCAACGTGATCCTAACAGGAAATATGTGGCCCGAAAGGGCAAAGTGCTCACAAACATGAGATCCGAGACAGCCAAGTTCTGCATGTAAATGTTTACTGAGGTCTTCCTCTGCGAAGGCTGAAAGAAAACATAAATGGAGAGGCCGTTTCCAACAGCGCCCAGGAAGAAGATAGAGAGATACATGATGGGGTAAATTACTTGCTTGAAGCTGTCAATTGTACAGTTGGAGGAGCTGTTGGTGAAGTTGTCACCTCGCGGCATCTCGGAGGTATTCATAGCCTAGAGTGAGGCTCTTCGTCTTTCTGCCAAAGTAAAAAGAAGGGGCGTGAGTGCTGGGTTACAGGCCAGGCAGGGAGTTCAGCTATTCAGGACTACTTTGCTGAGGGCAGAAAGTGCAAGATGCAGAGGGCAGTGGAAAGTAAAAGTTCATTAATGAGTAATCATTCGTGATGTCCCAGTAAACACACATCTCAAGGCATAAAGCCCCAAGCAATCTCTAAAGAGTTTCAGTATTACAGCAGCTGGTTGTTGTCTCAATCTATGAAAGTGCTGCCTTTTAAGGGCGATTGCTATGTGTGTGTTTTAAGGGAAATTCTCTGATCTTTGTGTAAAACAAGCCAACTTGCTGTCAGCCATTTTGTAGCAGGAAGGTTTTGAGTCCCCAGTTACCTGCCATCGGAACACCAAAACCTGACCAGAAAAGAAATCACCATCCACTGGTAAGTTGGTGTTGCAGATTAGGATGAAAAACCAAAATAATTGAATTTGCCGACTGGAACTAGTGAAGTTTTTCTGGTACATTGTCTGCTGTTGGCAGCATGTCACTGAACATTGCCGAGCAATACTGGTGGTACATTGATATGCCTCAGAACCTATAAATTAAGGATGTTTTGACTTTAAACTCTGCATAAATACTCTGCTAGTTATGCGTAGTTCCTTTTTTAACTCCCTCCTCCTTACACTGTATTTCTTCTTTCCATTAAGTTTTTGATTGCTTTGTATGTCTTTTTCATTTACCACTTTTTCAACCTTTTTTTGGGCTCAACTGCTCTGCATCAGACAGTCATCTACATGCACTGCAGCTTCCAGGGCAGCCCACCTTTGCAGCCCTAATGAAAATGGCCTGTGAATAAACGGGCTGTGTTCGCAGAGAGTGACATTTTTCCTCCTATGAGGCTATAATTCAATAAAATCAAACTCACTCATCACTAAAATACTCTAAACAATATTTTTTTTTCTCATTAGAGTCTATTTCCTTGCTGAATTCCCAATTTCTTCTCTCAGCTCACCTACAGCTAGTAGTATTTTGAAAGGAAGGTTCCAGTACTGTTGCAAGCAATTCCGTCTCTGCATCTGCCAACATATTCTGGAGGTGGAGCATGGAAAATTTTAGGCTAAAACCCAGAACTACATGGCATTTCTAGATGCACAAAAAAGAAGCTTTTAATTTGCCCCAATAAGAGTGATAATGGGTTGCTGGTACATAACCACATTTTATCTCTTATTCTGGACCTCACTGGCTTCATGACTTGAAATTAATTTATTTGCACAGGTGGAGTCTCCCTAGGGAGAAATGTAGGCTGTAGATTTGGGTGCCCTGCACTCCCAGTTACCCAGCGTGGTATTCCCCACGTGCTGTAAACAGGAGTTAATTTGTGAAATCACTACGATGTGGGAGCCTGAGCTATGTTCAGAGCAGCCCATGGTATCTTCAGGGTGGTGTCTCAGAGTCTGTCTGGATCCCTTAATACAGCAACCAGATGTTCCCCAGCAGTTGGCTTTTATCTGGCCCCACTGTGATGGGGAGCGTGGGAAGCGCATCCCCTGGGCTGGGCTCCCAAGGAGCAGGACTTAGCCCCCTGCTGCGAGAAGGGAGCGTGGCAGCTCAGGGAAGGGGGACATTTGCTCGCATGGATGTCATATCCATCCCTGCAGTGCCTGAAAATATCCCTCCAGAAAATAAAGATAATAATAAATAAAGATAATAATATCTATTGAGCTAAGGAGTGCTGAAGACTGGAATTGGGAAAACAGGATATTGGGGCTCAGCAAAGCCCTGGACTCAGTAGACACATGCTCCTAAAGGACATCTCCTCCTCATTTGAGATCCTCTTTCCTCATGGAGGGGAGAGACAAGGTGTACTTCCTAAGAACAAATCTTTTTCAGTCAGAGGAGTTTTGAATGGTTTTGGTTTTCCGTGTGAAGTGACTGTCTGACACACAAGTTTTCTGTGTGGGATCAAGGACCAGCTTTTCTCCTAACTGAGTCCGATTTTCCCATTTTTCAGGGAAATGTCACAGCCCAGGGTACTGCAAAGGGTAGAGCCCTTTTGTCTGTGTTTTGCTATGGCCCAAGCATCCTTGCATTTAGAAACCCCAAAACACAAGAAAATATCAGTGAAGAGATCTGCCACCTGTTGAAGCATTCCTGTTGTGTGTGAAACCTGTGGGTTAGAGGAGTCAAATGAGGATGAAGAACTTGGAGCGTGGATAAATTCAAAGCCCTGCTGAGCACCGCAAGTGATGGCTTGTGGCCCAATGCTATCTGCTGAAGAACGGGATTAGGGCAACAAAAATTCAGTTGATGAAAAGCCCTTTGGTCCCTGTACCCTGGGTAGAGCACTACAAGCACAGAGGCTGAGGCACTTTGCTCAGGCTCTTCGCATGAGGTTATCTAGCTAACAACTACCATTAAAGCTATTTTGTGCTCCTCATTTTTCCTTCCAGATAAAGACCTTTAGGAAACTCGATGCATAAGTGTAACTGAGAAAACTCAGCATCCTTGGACCTGGAAAGAAAGCCAGTACTCAGACTCTTCTCCAAATTATCCAAACAACACTTCCAATCTGTTATGGGATGTCTAAGAGGACAAGGCAGGAGACCAGTCAACTGAAAGCTGTTCACCAGCATGGTGCCGGCCCTCAGTCAAGGGCCAGGAATGACCCGTGCAATTATTATATGTCAATGGTCCTAATAGCTGTGGTTTAACACACAGATCAATGTTGAAAGGAAGGTGCAGTGAAAGATATATTTCACACAGGACTACCTCAAGCAACCACAGAGGAGAATGGGGGAATTTTATCCCTCCTTGAAGCCAAGAGCTGTTCCCTAGACAGCTCAGGCCAGGAGATGGCTCCTAGATAAACAGAAATAAGACATACCTAAGTACAGGCAATAAGCTTTGTTTTCAGCAAGAGCATCCAGACTGTCTCCTGGGTCAGGAGCAAACAGGGTGGGTTTTAGGGGGGACACTGGACCTACAGGATCCCCTAAAAGACCTCATAAGGGAGTTTGGCAGTAAGATCTAACATCCTTCTGAGAAAAAAAAAGAGAAAGGGACAATCTGAAATGGGAGTCTCTCTTAAGCAGTACCACAAGACATCTCTAATGGAAACGCCCCAGCAGGAGATTTTTTTCCTATATATGAGTTTCCCTGATGGAAGCTATCAAGTAGAAGCAGCTGACACATGTTCCAAGGCTCTGACAACCACCCTGGCAGAAGAGAGAGAGCACCTCAGCTGAGCATGGAAAAAGGAGTTTTCTGAAACACCTGCTGTGTAAGTAGATCAGATGTAGAGTCTGGGTGGGTTTTTTTCCTTTTCTTTACCTCTGTGAAATCTTTTAGAAACATTTACAGCTTGACTAGTATGGATTTTATAAATAAATATTTACCTTTTATTATAAATTATGTACCTTATAAAATACATCTATTTATTATGAATAAATATTTTACCTTTTATCTTAGCCTGGCGTCAGTGTAGTTTAGGATAAGAAGATAAGGGAAGGACTTTCCTTGCCTAAGGTGAATCTAACTTTCTTAACAAATGGATAGGTGTGCCAGCCAGGTGGGGAACAGATAGAGCAAAAGTAAGAGGAGATGTGTTTAATTGGAGGAGACACTAAACTAGTAAAACTGTCCCAAAACAATAAGATTTTATGCTTGGGATGCAGGTAGCAGCCTAGCAGCAGAGTGGGGGCTACCACATAGACTGCCCAGCATGTGACATGTATGGCTGCTGGCCCAGGGCAAGTTTTGTGCATGTGTGTGCAGGGCAAGGGACTGGGCACATGGAGGGACAAGGCTGGCTGTCTCAAGGCAAGGGTGGCTCAGAAGAAGCAGGACAGGAGCAGGTCTGCCTGGGGAGCAGACCTCATGAGACATTTGTGCACATCTCTTGGGGGTGCAGGAGAGGAGCTGGTCGTGCCTGTGGTTATTGTGGGCACCAGGGATGAAGGTGGGATCTTCAGGGCTCAGCTATGAGGCAAGAGAGAAGCTCAGGTCAGAGCCAGTGTTTCAGTGCATGGATGAGACAGCAGAGAGGAAAACTTTAAGTATGTAAGGAATTGAGGGATCTTTGGGGATAAAGGCAAGTGATACTGAAATGAGAGACTGCACTGTACCCAGAGTGGAGCCAGGTTGCTGGCACTGCAGAATGAAAGGTTTGCAGAGGAGTATTTAATTAAAAGCAACAGGGGAGCTGACGAGCATGGGAGAGCAAGTGGGCTGGACTGATGAGACCTGCGAGGGCAGTGAACTGACATCCAGTGCACCTCTGACAAGGCCAGCAGGGAAATAAAGTCCAACTGCAATAACTAGGGAAGGCAAATCCAGCTTCCCACAAACCCGGTTGTCTGGCACATGCTATCTTGAGTGACTGAGCAAAAGCAAATCTTAAATGTAATTCTGCACTGATGCTCAAAGTCCAAAATGAGACAGGGAAGCTGGAAGGCTTGGCATGAGACAGCAACCCTGGTTCAAGGAGAACCTCAGAGACCTGCAGGAGAGAGGATAATCCATGGGAAGCTGTGTTGCCATGCTACCAGCTTTATGGTAATGATAGTGTAAGATGCACATGTGGAGGAGTGGCACTGTGCATGAAGGACTATATAACTTGCAACGGCATAAAAATATTACAGCTAAAGAGAAGCACTACAGAGTCCTTGTAGGCAGACATCCCATACTCTAATAATAAAAATATAGCATTAGGAATGCAGTACCAAACTCTTCATCATGATGATGATAGTCATCAGAAAATGCTAATAGCAGGAGATTTTGGGTGCCTTTATAAAGATGTGATGTTGCAGCAGAACGAGACGTAATGTCTATATGCAACAAATGCCTGATCCCTAGAATAATTAGTCCTGCAGACAAATCCACAACACAAGATGCTATTCTACATTTCATCTTTAGCGCCACACAGGTCCTAGGTCAAGCAGGTTTTGGTGCAGGAAGCCCTGTACTAGCAATCACAGTAGAGCTAGGTTTGTCAGTGTTG